TCCACGCATTAGCTCTCAATCTCCTTCGACTCATCCTCCATAGAGGTCACCAGTGGGATCTGTGTAAAATGCAATCTGACCAAGTCACTTTTTCCTTAAAAACCTTCCATGGCTCCCATTGCTTTCAGAGGAATTGATCACAGTGGGTTTAGCACCACACCAGTCCTGCAGGATATTTCATAGACATAAGATTCAGGAAATGCTGTACATAGTGCCCCTCTTTAAGATTCGTAACGTACATTAGCATCTTGCGGATGGCTTCAGGCCTTCCCTGATGGCTAAGAATCCACCTGCCAACGCAGGGAACAAAGGTTCAATCCCTGTTCTGGGAAGATTCCACATGCCATGGAGCAACCAAGCCTGTGCACCACAGCTACTGAAGCCTTTGTGCCCTAGAGCCCAGGCTTTGCAATAAGAGAGTAGCCCCCACTCACCACAGCTAGGGAAAGGCCACAAGTAGCAACGAACACTCACTACAGCCAAAAATAAATACATAAAAATTTAAAAGATGGCTTCATCATCCTAAACTCCAGCATCTTGCTCTCTGACCATGCCCACCTTCTTGCTATCCCCCAGTACACATGTTCTTCAGCTTCACAGGACATCCAGAACTCAAGCCCTTCCATTTCTCTCTACCCTAGTTCTGTCAGACATCATTGGAACCCTGCCTCATGCCCAGCATCACTTCTGTGCAGCCTGAGTCACCTCTCCCATTTTCAGAAGGGGCTCTTCTAAGTTTGCGGAAGATCATCTCCTTCATCTCCTACTTATGGGGCGAGGAGAGAACTTAGGAACTCCCTTCATGTCTGGCTCCCTTTCCTCCTGCCTCCCCCTGAAGCCAGACATCTCCACCTACATTCTGCATCTCGTCCTCTCTCCCCTTTACCACCTGTATCCATCTTCTTTCTCCTGTATCTTCTACCTTTGCTTTAGTCTCTACTTTCAGCCTATAAATATAAAACTCTTCCGTCCAGCATGCAAATGAACCCCACCCCCAGTAGTCCTTTGAATGCCACCTCCTCTCATAACTGCTAATCCCTCTCTCCCCTCCCCCGTATAGCCTTACTTTTCTAAAGAAGAGTCTACCTTCTTCACTTCCATTTCACTTTCCATTCCGAACTCAACCCACTGCAGCCTTTCAGAGTCCGCCACCTTCTGAAACTGCCCTGGCCGCAGTTGCCTAGAGTTCACCCATTCACTGCCTTGCCTTCACGATCCTCCCTGGAGCAGCTGACACTGATGGCCCATCCTTTCTTTTGTACACGGCTGTGTCCTAGCTGGTAGGACATGAGCCCCTGCTTTTCCTCCCCCTTCCTTTGACTCTGCCCTGCTCACCTGCCCCCTACATGCTGAGAGTCTCCAAGCTCCACCTTGGTCATCTGCTCTTCTCTATGTGTGCCCTGTCCCTGGGCATCTCATCCACACTCATGTCTTCAACTGCCCCCCAGCATGCAACCACCCACACACACCCTGTCCTCATCTCAGACCTCTCTCTGGAACTCTAAGACCACATTGCCCACTGTCTCCTGGGTCCTGGGCGCCCCAGACAACTCACAGCCAACACATCCTGAGAAGGACCCATCTCCTGCTTCTGTGCTCCCCCAGCAGCAAATGAGACCATCAAGTGCACAACCCAGACACTAGGGTCACCCTGGTCCCTTCCTTCCACTTCTCCTTCCGCTGCCAGGCATAGCCGGTCATACAGTATGGCAGAGCCAATCTGACTGTACAGAGGAGAAACCTTGTCAAACAGTTCCAGGGGCCCTACCCTGACTTACTGAATCCAAAGCTCCCAGGCTGGGCCTGGGAATCTGAGTTCCTAGCAAGCCCCTCCAGCCTGATGGGATGCCTGGCTCAAGTCCCAGACTGGCATTGAGGAACCACTCTTCTCTGATTTGTCCCCTGCCAGTCTCCACTGCCAACAGCACCTCTGCTTGCCCCATCTGATCCATCTTCCACACTGAAGCTAAAATGCCATAGGACTATGGCTCACCTCTCCTAAAACCCTTCTAGATGCGCCCCCCACCCAGGAGCCCTGCTTCATAGCCATGTGCACTCAGTGGAGTGACTTCTGCTCACCTCCTGTGTCACCTCCAGCCTCACTCCCCTCTCCTCAGATGATGCACTCCAGCTGCCCCAAAGGATAATTAGTCCCCAAACCCACAGCCCTGTTCTATAGCTCCTGGCTTTGCACACATTGCTCTTTCTAATCAGACCTCCTCACTCCCTCAGCCCCTCTGGACTGACTCTTACGGCTCAACACAAGCTGGGCTAAAAACCCGCCCCTTAGGCACTGTTAGCCCAAATAGGGACTACAGATTTCCTAGGATTTCCCCCCCACCTCCACCCCAGGTAAATAGTGGGCCCTCAAGACAGAGTCTGGACTTTGATTGTTCACCATCTCCAGAGCTGAACCCAGCAAGATTAGTGGATGGAAGGGTAAAATAAGAGAAGGAATGGGAGAGAGCAGAGAGGCCCAGAGGAGTCAGGGTGATTCTGCCCGTCTGTCCTTCGGCCCAGGCCACCAACTGACCTCTCCTTAGCAGGGACTCTGCTCTGGATCCTGAGGCAGAGTTCTCAGAAATACCACTCTCGTGGGGTTTGAGCTGCCCCCCAGGCTCTGACATTCCCCTAGTAGCCAGATTGGAGAGGGAGCTGCATTCCCCCCTCTCCACGTGCCCTCTGATAAGGTTTGGGGCATCTAAGAAGTCTTAGCTCCTTCTATCTGCCCTGGCCAACTCTGAACTTCATTAACAAGGACAGCGGGTTCACAGGACCCCAGGACCAACCTGTACTCTGAACTTGCAGTCCCCTCCTCTTCCTGGACCTTCTCCCACCCTTGCTCAGTGCCTGGGCAATGCACCACGACTTCCCCATCCTCTTTTCCTTTTCCCCTCTTTGCCCATTCAGTGCCTTTGCTACAATACCTGCCAGTCACTTCAAGGCTTTCCCTGTGACTTTGACTCCCAACTTTACTGCCCTCCACTGTCCTGCTTCAACCCCTCCCCAGCCTGGTCTGAAGATGGCAGAGGCCATGTTGGGGAGGAGAGCTGGATGGGGACAGAGGTCTGCATTAGTTGGATGGCGCCCCCACTTTGCCCCCTCACTGTGCAGACACCAGACCCTCCATTAAGTGGGCTTGATTCTGTGGCAGCCCTAGCCTCTGCCTACCACACTCAGGATCAGGCACATAATTTGTGGATCTGGTGCAACATGAAAATACAGGACCCCTTGCCCAAAAGCGGTTAATAATTTCAAGATGGCAGTAGGAGAGCACTGAACCAAACACCAGGCCCTCCTAAATGCATGGCTCTGTGTGACTACACAGGTCTCACGTCCATGAAGCTGGCCCTGCCCACACCCTTTCCCAGCTGGGGACAGCCCCTCTCCCCTCTCCTGTCCTCAGCTGTTTTCTAGGGCAGCTCCTCAGGGCCTGAGAGCAGGACCCCAGCCCCAGGCACCCACAGAGGCCAGAGCCCTGTTCAGCAGGCACTTAATTCCCACAGCCCCTCTGGCAATCTTCACCCCCACACTACCTCTGGGCTGCAGGGTACATACACCCTCCTCAGATCAATGCTTATTGACTGAGCCCCACCTGGCTAAGCCTGTGGAAGAGAGAACAAGCTGACAAAGGCTCAAACACTGCCCTCCAGGAGTTCAGTTTAATAGCAGGATTAAAACTTAAACAAGAGCAGGACCAAACACAGAATTCAGCGGGTTCAGAGAAAAATCATCATATTTGATTAGGAAGCTGAATTTCAAAAGAGATGGAATAAAGGTGGACTTCCATGAGTGGGCAAGATTTTATTTACCCGAGGAGGAAAAGGGCTTTCCCGACGGTTGCACAGCAGGCGCATTAGAGGTGGAAAGATGCCTGACAGGTCCCAGAATCCTGGGTTGTGCAGTTTGGCGAGGCATATTGATGGCAGAAGAGTGGGAAGACACTGGAAGGGAATTTTAGGGTCTGCGTGCAAAGCTCTAAGAGCTGTGGTGAAGTGTTTGTACTTTGGTAGCGGAGGCATTGAGGGGGCGTTAGGTTTGGGCCGTATTTCGGATCAAAGGGAGAAAAGAGGCGACTTCCTCCACTTGGCCCTCCCAGCCTGCCGGCAAGTGCAAAGTCTCACCTTTCTGCAGAACAGGCCGCTGATATCCAGGGTTCTGGAGCTTATACAGTCCACCCTTCTCTGAGCTACCCACAAGGGTGCAGCCTGGGCTCCCTCCCGCCATACCACCGCGGAGGACCCGCAATCTCGCGTGATCCTGGGTTCCCCGCAGCAGTGCCGGGCGGTGTTGGAGAGGTTTGAGGCTCTTCCTCCACTTCCTTCTGTGGTCCTGCTCGTGGTGGTGGTGGAGGAGGAGCGGAAGTTAGGTGGGTCGGTGGTGGTTGCGGAATAGGATCCAGGACTGGGAGTGGAGGCGACCTACTGGGAGCATCCAGAAGGCATGCCTGGGAGTGGGGACAGGGTGGCTCTCATCCCCTGGTGGACCTACTACCCACTTATTTTATCTTTATATTATGTATATTCTCAAACATATACAAAAGTAGAGAGAGTGGTATAGTGATTTAGCCAAGCCCCAACGCCGAGCTTCAACAATTTTCTCCTCTTGGCCAATTTTGTTACATCAAACCCTCTCCCACCACCCACTTTAAAGAAGGATGTGGGTGGCCTGGGGGTGGCAGAGGCGCCCCCCACCCAGAGTTGTAGGAGAGCTGGTACCAAGCTTGCACCCCTGGCGAATGGACCGCCAAGAGGCAGAGCGCGGGCACAGTCGGGCTGCGAGAGGGGCTCACGCTGGGTAGAGGCCGCGGGGGGCGGGGACGGGGCTAGCGGGGCGGGGCTTGGAGCGGCGAGGGGGTTGGGGGCGCTCTCCCGGTGACTCAAGGCGCGTGGGGCTCGGCGCAGAGCTGCAGTCTCCGCCTTTGCAGCTTGGAGTGTGCCCGCTGCGCCGCAGCTGTCCGTGCCTGCAGCCGCCTTCCCTCCGCCGCCACCTCTGCCACCATGCCCAACTTCGCCGGCACCTGGAAGATGCGCAGCAGCGAGAATTTCGACGAACTGCTCAAGGCGCTGGGTAAGCTGGCCCGGGCAGCGCGCCCCGACGGAGAGTAGCGGCCGGAGGCGCCCCGGGGCCCGCGGGGAGTCGGCTTTAGGGACCAACACTAGGCAGGAGGAAGTCCTGGGTGCCTTAGATCGGGGCGAATTCCAAGGAGCATCCCATCTAGAAGTGGCGAGGAGAGCCCGGGATCCACTCATCCAGCGAACGTTTGCTGGATCCTTGGCGCTTTCCCCGACGGCTCAGCCTTTATCTCGCGCTGGATCATCGCGAGGAGAGCTTATTACTGAAATCCTGGGAGGGTCAGGGACTTTAAATCTGGGGACTCATTTTGAGACCAGGCCCTACCACGTGCTACAGAGGGAAAGCCATTTACCCTCTCTGAGCCTCAGTTTCGCATCTTGAAAATCAGGGCGAGAGCCGGGGGAGGAATGGTTTAGTTGTAAGTCCCCCTTTTATAGTCAGAGGGTTTGGGAAATGCCGGGCCAGTTCTGGGACTGTGGGCGGGTGGCGAGACCCCGTGACCCGAACCCGGGTCGCCCTCGTTCTTCCCGGGGCAGGTGTGAACGCCATGCTGAGAAAAGTGGCCGTGGCGGCTGCGTCCAAGCCGCACGTGGAGATCCGCCAGGACGGGGATCAGTTCTACATCAAGACGTCCACCACGGTGCGCACGACCGAGATCAACTTCAAGGTCGGAGAAGGCTTTGAGGAGGAGACCGTGGACGGACGCAAGTGCAGGGTGAGGTCCCAGAGTCTGGGCAGCGTTACCAGATCCCTGCTCCCTACCCAGGAACCGCTGCAGCCAGACGAGACCCCCATCTCCTTTTGCAGCCTGTGGCGCGCCTTCCTTGCAGGGCGTGTGCACCGGCTGTTTGCCCAGAGGATCTATGCAACGCGTTGCCCTGGGCTCGGGAGAAAGTCCCACCTCAGCCCCTCCCAACCTCATCCCTAAATTGCCTCCCGGGGTGCTAACAGCCGCGCTTAAACCGCGGGCTTTGGGGTTACACCGCGTTCCCTGCAGGGGTTTCTGCGGCATTTTGCAGCGATCCTCGCGCGAGCGCAGGCGGCTGGGGAGGAGGAGGTGGCTGGGCCGGGTTGCCCGGCCGTGCGGCTGCCACGTTTCCTGTCGCAGGTGGAGCCGCAGCTCTTGGCGTCCAGCCCTCCCAGGTCCCTGGGCCCTTGGGAATGCTCTGGATCCAGTTTCAGCAGTCTTGATGGCCCTGGTACCTCTCCTGCCCGCCCTCAGTTAGGTTCCTTAAAGGAAAAGACGAAATCTTTCCAAAAGCAACGCAGATTCTGCCCGGAAAATGGACTGAGTGCCCTCTTTTAGTCCTCAGGGGCAAGAATTCTGTTTCCATTTATCGGCCCCTGGGATGAATCAGTGGACTGAAGCAAGGGGTTGTAAATTCCTTTTTTAGATGGGCAAAGTCCCATTGGTTGGTCTCTAGAATAGAATGGAAGGTTGGCTACCCATGTATTTTGAGGACAGATGGAAAAATCGCTGATGCTACCACTTATTTAAAAAGTGACAAAATGTCTCGCTCCTCTCCCCCAAGGTTTGAAAAAAGAAAAACTCATAGCATTCCAGAGAGTGAGAAATTGTTTTTCACCTTTCCGGAGCCCTGCCTGTCTGATCTAGAGTGAGACTCTCTGGGCACCGGATTTGGGAGGACATAGAAACACAGCCCCTCAGAAGCACCCTGGCTCATGAAGCAATATTTGACCCCCAGAGTTGGCACAGCCTGAAAATGATATCTGGGCTTGGAGCTGGCCAGATCCAAGCCCTCAGCCACTGCTCTGTTTGCAAAAACAAAAGAGCAGGACATCTCTTCAGCGTAAGATGGAAGGTCTGGGAGTCTAAGGCAAAAGACCTGGCAACAGGCAGGACTCAGTTTGGGTACATCCAACAGTGAGTACTGCTGGAGACAGTAATTCTGATCAGAAATCAAAGGTTCACAGGACAGCCTGGGGAGCGGGGCTTTATCCATCCCCACGATGCCTAGTGAACGTGTCCCATGTGTTAGTTAAAAAGTCAGTATGTGCACATTCAGTACAGCCGCCTCACCCCGCAGTACAGCATTTTGCTTCGTGCAGACACCGGGGAAAACTACAGGGGAATCCCTTCTTTGCCTCCTACCTCCGACAGCTTGAAGACCCTTCAGATCTTTAAAAAAAAATTTTTTTTTCTAGAGAGATGTAACCTGGGAAGTGGCAGTGTTTTTATTCTCAGAGTCAGAGAAACTCAGGATTATCAGAGTAGGCTGTGTACTGCATCTGCTGAGTGCAAACAGAAAGAAAGGCATTATCCCCAAATCCGTGCAAGGAACAGCTCCTGATTTGCTGACTAGATGTGGTCACAAACATGGTGTCAACCATTCTAAAATTCTAAAATTTTGTATTTCTGTTGTGAAGCTTTTTGCCCTGAACAACCAAATTGCTTGAAGGAGGAGTCCATTTTGACATAAATGAATCATTGTATGATCTCAATTTTATTCCTGAAGATGTAAGGCATGCCTGAGGCTTTGCTGCTTGTGTGTGTGTGTGTGTGTGTGTGTGTGTGTAATATAAGTATATTTATACTCCCATAAAATCTGTGGTCAGCCCTCTGAATTTGGGCTTGATAAGGCGCAGCAGAGAAGGTTCTGTGCGCTGCTGACAGGGACCATGTGTTGCTTCTCTGCACAGCAATTATTCTCCCGTGCTCATTGTTGTCTCTGCTCCCCACTGCCAAGACCGTAATTAATGTCACTAATGGTTTTCCTGCCCGCAGAGCTTACCCACTTGGGAGAATGAGAACAAGATCCACTGCACACAAACTCTCCTGGAGGGGGACGGCCCCAAAACTTACTGGACCCGTGAGCTGGCCAACGACGAACTCATCCTGGTGAGTGAGACCGCCCCCCCAAACCTAAAAGGAGCTCCAAGGTTTCCAGATGCTGCCCGCAGCGGGGCCCACCAACATTGTCGTCACTCGCCCATTCAGGGAGAGACACTCTATGCCCTGGCTTAAAATGTGAGCAGAAAAGCTCAAGATGACAGTTTAGGCCAGAGGAAATCACTGTTAGATGGTTGGCAGGAGAGCGGAGTGGCTCAAGGGGCAGAGCAGAGGCTAGAGACATGCTGTGCTGCCGGCCACTAGCCAAACCCACACATCCTGGCGGTGACCTGCTGACTTGCTTAAGCCAACCTCCCCTCCAGCTGGGCTCAGCGTGCGTGGGCTCTGCGAGGCCCCAGAGGTCACCCTAGGGAAGGGGTTTTCCTCACCTTACCATTCTCCACTTTGCTCTCTAGGAAAGATTTCAGAAATTTCAGTACGCCTGCAATGGAAGTCTTTTTACCTCCCCCCCACCCCGACCCCCACCCCGGACTTACAGACTCCAAAGGCTTTCCGGGAGACAGACAAGAAATGCTAATTTAAGACAGTCTGAGGGTTGGCTGGAGAGGGTAATCAGGGAATCAGATTGAAGTATTTTAAACATCCCTGGCCATGCAAAATATACCTGCTGAGGCCAAGTTAGAAACCTCTGTAGTTAAATCACACACCTCCTTCCCCTTTATTTGGGGGAGCATAGGAAGTGGGGCGGGGGGGCAGGGATGAAGGAAAGCTCCCTGATGCTCCCTTTGTGTTTCAGAACAGACCGAGCTTTCCTGACAACAGCCTTCCCTGCCTGCCTCTTCACTCCCTGCAACCACTCCCACCCCAGAAAATGGGAAAGCTGTTGTGGGTAACCAGGAAATGATAGCCTTTGTTCTCCGTCAGGCCTGTTGTTAACATCTCCCCTCTAAGACTGCCTGCTTGCCCCATCTTAATGAGCTTCACCCTGAAATGTTGGGAAAGGAGGTGGCAAGGAATGCTAGGACAGGACTCATTGTGTGACCCAGGCCTGGTCCTTCCCTCCCCAAGCTGTAAAATGAGGGTTTGGACTAAAGCCTGGTTCCCCCCCACCCCCCCATCCAGGTCCCTCTCAGCCCTGAAATTACATGTTTATTCTGTAGGAAGACCCTCAATTGAGCTGTTTCTGTTACTCCAGTGGAGGCCGCTTGATCTCACTCTTGCTTCTTGTCCTTCCCTGAGATGATTTCCCAGATTTCCTCCTTTCACAGAGAAAGGACTGGCTTCATTTGCAACCTGGTTAATGTTGTTTCCAGGGCAGGAATACATTGATGGGGTTGGGGAAGCAATTTGAGGCCAAGAGATGGAAATTTAAGAGAAAAAGGGACATATTCATTGGGACCAGGGATAGCAAAGAGGGAGATGATTTTTAGAGTTCTTGAGGGTTAAGTAGGCTCGGTGTGCTTGGTGAGAAAGTGTGATTTTATTAATCTCTGTAGTATCTGAGCAGCCCGCACACTGGCTCAATTCTGTTAGGAGATTTCCCCCACTTCCAGCTCCCCCACTGCATCTCCACCCGTGCCTCTCTCCCTGGCTCAGCAGACATATACATACATACATACGAGCCTCAAAGGGAACATTAATTCTTGGCATTTGGGATCTAAAATATGGGCTTTTGTTCCAAGGGTTATTATCATTAATAAATCCAAATGTAGGGAGATGCCGTCTCTATAAACAAGAGGCAATTTATTCTAGTTAACTTGAAATAAGCTCTCCCAGCAACCCTGGGCTGTAACTTGCCTTCTTTTGAAAACTGAGTAAAGTCTCTTAAACCACTCTGGAACACTGTATGGAGAGTTTCTTTCAGGAACCTCTCAGAATAGTTTGCAGGCTGAGAAGGACATTTCGAACGCAATTGGAAATGTAGCCATTTCTTCTTGTTTCCTGAGGCCATTTGATGCCTGGGTGAGGTGTCGATCATTCCAGCACAGGTAAAGAGTCCAATCCCCAAACTTTGGCCTGCCGTGGGATACTCCATGACCATAGAGCTGGAAGAGTCTTGGAAAACAGATATGGCTCTGAGAGGTCTGGACATTTGAGAGGTGAATTTCTATGGGAACCCCTGCCTCACCCTCCCCCAGCACCCAGCACCATCTGCTAATTCCTCACTAATGAGGAGAGGGAGGAAGACGGAGAAGGTGTCCAGAGGAGGTATAGCTGTGCCGGTATGATCAGCAGTTCCCTATTTAGGCTGGCGATGAGCATTTGATTCCTTCATAATCACTAATGACTAGTATTTCCCTGAAACACACGTTAGAATAATGTCCCAACTCATGTTCTCTGAGAGCATCTCATGACCAACTGAGTGACCCAGGGGAAGATACAAGTTTGTTCAAGCTCGTGCATGCATGTGTGCTAAGTCGCTTCAGTCGTGTCCGACCCTTTGTGACCCCATGGACTGTGTAGCCTGCCAGGCTCCTCTGTCCATGAGATTCTCCAGGCAAGAATACTGGAGTGGGTTGCCATGCCCTCCTCCAAGGCATCTTCTCGACCCAAGGATGGAACCCATGTCTCCAGTGGATCCTGCATTGCAGGGGGATTTTTTTTTACCACTGAGCCACCAGGGAAGCCCATTCACGCTCTTAGTTCAGGGTTTTTAACCTAAGGCCCTTTTGACAATTTGAAAGATAGGGACTCTCCCACAGAAAGATGTATGTCTGCAAACAAACATACCTACGTCAGTCGACAGACTGGAGACATCCTGTTTGTTTGTCTTAAATTTTTTTTTTTAATATACATATGGCTTTTTCTGTCCCAGTTATCTGTGAGAGACCCAGGGGAGCAGGCCTGTGAGTAATTGCCAGTTTTTGGAAGAGTTGAGACAGCATACTTACAGGGATGTATTTTCAGAGGCCAGAAGAAAATGGTCCTCCTCCATTCGTGGAATGATTTGTACCCTCTCCACAGCAAACAAACAAACAGTAATAAAACTGTAGCTGAAAGAACTGTGAGATCATCTTGTTCAGTTGCACTCCTGCCCTCAACTCCCTCCTGCTCCATCTCCAAATGGTCCAAGAGACCAGAGCAGTGCCCCAGCTCACCCGGCTGTGAGTTGCAGGCCTAGGGCTGGAGGCCTATGCCAAGCTCTTGCAGCCAAGACCACGTTTCTAGCTCACAGGTTCCTTGAGTATTACTGACACAACATCTCAGGTGTCAGGATGGACAGCTGCTTCCTAGAAGGCTGCACCCTTTCCAAGGATATCCCACCTGACTGTTCATTACTGGATCCCAGGGCTCAGTGGCCCGGGCCCATTGTCCTCTTGAAATCACTTGAAAAGAGACAGAACCACTTCAGAAATGTCCAGTATGACATACCACCACCCCCACTTCAGTTTAATTTTAAAAACCAAAGCCAGGAAACTTGCATTTTTTATGTCAGCACTCCCAGGTTCCAGAAGCAAAGGAAAACTACACACAATATAATTCTATACCCTAGCTGCCTCTCTGCCAGTGCAGAGCTCAAGGGAGGGGAAAAAAAATCCTTAGCGCTGAGCATGAACACACAGCACAGGAAATTGAATGTCTGTTACAAAGAGTTTTTAACAGGGCAGTAAGTGGCCTTATTAGCGATATGCTTTAAACATTTTTGTACAGGCATCTGCACTGATTGGTTTTCCTTCCCTGCAGACGTTCGGCGCCGATGACGTGGTCTGCACGAGGATTTATGTTCGGGAATGAAGGCGGCCAGCTTGCTCCAGCTTTGGGGGTGGGATGCATGTTCCCCCAAGGAATGTCATAGTTCTGAGCCGCCAGCGGACCTCCTCTTCCCCGGTATTAACGTTAGGTGATCCCGATGTCCCCCTAGTAATGCTGTAGTGTTTTCCCCAAGGCTCTGTGCCTCTGTGTCCCTGGCGCTCCATAGTCTGGCATCTGTATGGTTTCATCAGTCATTAAACTGGGTGTACACACCTCAAGGCTTTCTCCTTCTTTGCACTGTCTCTTTAGTTTCCACAAAGGTCTTGGTGATCCTGCTGACCCGAGCCCTGCACTGGTCTGCGTAGGGCCTTTCGGCTTCTACCTGTTGCCCTGGTGCAGAGCTTGGCATATATGGCAAGGGTGGTGAGCTGGGCTCCCTCTGAAAGGATTCACAATGCAGACCCAGGTGTACTTAGACCTCATTATGCTGGTGTTTTCATTGAATTAGTTGATACATTGCTGGTTCCCAGCAGGAAAGGGAGGGCACATTTGAAAGGGTTAATTGAGGCGCGCTCAGAATGAAGGGATATTTACACAGGCCTTTACATGGACGGGGTAAAGAGAACCAACAAAGGATGGTGAGGTACTCAGAGGCCAGCAGTAGGGAGCTGGAATACTCCCCTAGAGAGATGGACAGAGGGGTCATCAGCTATAGTCTTCCAGCTATAGCCTGGAAGAGAGACCACTACGTACAAGAGTTGTGGACCACAGAAGAATGTGGTCACTGCCAAAGCCCCAGTATGTGGGCAGAGGGGGGTTCAGAGGGTGGGGGAGAGTCTCTGGCTTGGAACAAGGGGGTTAAATATACTGACCCCCCAACTTTCAATCTCTGATCTTATTCTGTCCACTGGCCAAACCCATCTGGAATCTAGGGGGCAAAAGAGTGGGCAGGTGGGGGGAGGAGGGTACTGCCCACAATAGTTACCCTCCTAGGACATAGCCAAGAGGAGAATGGATCCCAACATGCAAAAGGACAATAATCCACAGTCACCAACTCTAACATTCGAAAAATCAGGAGAATTCATATGAAAATCTGCATTTCTATTTCCTTAGAAAAATTGGGAAAATCTGGCATCTCTAAGAGGGCAACAGTTGGCTTAGCAACTTCCCCCCTTTTTAAGTGGAACTTACACTCTCTGCCTTCCCATGGGCCCCACCGTTGCCCTTGCCCTCATTTGCATTGCTTGCCCGGCTTCTTGGGCGTCTCTCCCTGCCATCCTAGGCACAGGGGGTCTTGGCAGAGCCAGGCCAGAGTTGGCTGGGTGGGCATGGGTGAGGCCCAATTTAGATGACCGGTTTAAGGTGACCCTAAAGAGCTCACCCTGGGTGGCTCAGATGGGAAAGAATCTGCCTGCAATGCAGGAGACCCTGGGTTTGATCCCTGGTTGGGGAAGATCCCCTGGAGAAGGAAATGACAACCCACTCCAGTATTCTTGCCTGGAGAATTCCATGGACAGAGGAGCCTGATGGGTTACAGTCCACAGGATTGCAAAGAGTGGGACATGACTGAGTGACTAATACTTTCACTTTCAAAGAGTTCACACCCTGATGGGCAGACCCCTAAGGCCCAGGTGCCACCACCTGTGTGTAAACGAGGACACCTTTACCTGATTTATCACACCTCTGCAGTCCAGAATACTACTTTGCTGATGAGAACTTCAGCTCTTTCTCAAAGATTCTACTACCTACATCTAGGAGGAGTTGCCTCATGGTTTCTTGGAGGAAGGGGGCTGGAGTGGCACCTCTAAGGAAGGGGAGAACCAGGACTGTCTGGAGCACCACTGTTTACTTAAGACTCAGAGGCTATAGCCTGTTTCTCTTGAATCCTTTTCTTCTTCAGTTTCCAGAGAAAAAGGAACAGTGTTTCTCACCCCTCTTTGAACACTGCTCACAAGACATTAGCATGGGACCCAATATGGGAGTTGCTGCTATAATTTTCAACCTTTAAATATTTGTGTGTACACACACTGGTGGCTCAGATGGTAAAGAAACTGCCTACAATGTGGGAGACCCAGCTGCCATCCCTGGGTCGGGAAGATCCCCTGGAGGAGGGCATGGCAACCCACTCCAGTATTCTTCCCTGGAGAATTCCACAGACAGAGGAGCCTGGTGGGCTACAGTCCATGGGGTCACAAAGAGTCGGACATGACCGAGCAACTCACAGACACATTACATATGATATATAATTTACACATACATGTAGGATGAACACCTACACAAAATACCACTGTCATCAGAAAAACCTCACTATGATGCTGTTCTAAACACGTCACTCCTCTGCTCAGCAAACCCATGGTCTGCGACAGAAAGGTCAAACTCTCTGGCACCCTCCATGTCTTGGTCTCACCAGGTAAAGCAAAGAATGAGGGCTTTGGTGTCTGTCACACCTGGCTTCAACTCCTGGCCACACCTTTGGTTTGCAAGTACTAGAAACCCAACCCCAACCAGCCCCAGCATAAAGGAACATACTCTGTGACAACACAGCTGAACCTTGAAAACATTATGCTAAGTGCAAGAAGCCAGTAACAAAGCACCTCAGAGCGTGTGGTTCCATTTCTATGAAATGTCCAGAACACATAAACCCATACAGACACAGGGCGGATTGGTGGTTGCCTAAGGCTGGACATAATGGGAGGAAATGGGAGTAAAAAGTTCCTCTGGGGTGGAGGGGCCGGTGGTAATGAAAATGTTCTAAGATTGATGTGGTGATAGTTGCACAACTCTACAAACACACCAAAAAATCCACTGAATTACGCATTTTAAATGGATGAATTATATATGAATTATCTTAATAAAGCTATTGCTTGCTTTATTTTTAAGGAAGTGCTGACCTGGTTGTGAAGAATGCTGGGGAAACTCTCAGTATTCAAGCAAATGCTTCAGGAGCTGGGCCTTAGGCCCGAGAATCTGAGGCAAACCCCTCTACCCCTCCATCTCTGACTCCATTTTGACTTCTTTATTGAACAGATTCAGGTCATATGACCACCCCTGGACCAATCACGATTGAGGGAAACACAGTACAATGATTGGACAGGCCTAAGACATGTGACCTCTCCTAGGCTAGTGGGCAGAACATTTTAGAAAAGAAAGAATAGGGGGGAAAGAACTGGGTGGGAAGGAACTGATTAAGCCATCCTCCATGCTGGCTAGCAAACCTTTCACAAATTATTTAGTCCCTTGCTATGTAAAATGAGGACAATAAAATCCATTTGGCCTGGTTGGTGTGGAGATTAGTGGAATTAAGTTTTGTAAAGTACTAAAAGCTTTATATTTATCTTCCCTGGTGGCTTCTGGTAGAGAATCTCCTGCCTGCTAATACAGGAGACATGGGAGACACAGGTTCCATCCCTGGGTGGGGATGATCCTCTGGAAAAGGAGATGGCAACCCTCTCCAGTATTCTTGCCTGAAAAACCCCATGGACAGAGAAGCCTGGCCAGCTACAGTCCATGGGGTCACAATGTCAGACACAACTCAGCGACTGAACAACAAAAGAGCTTTAGAGATTTCTACACAATCCTGCCCTGTAGCCACATGGTCCAGACCCTGATTCCCACTCCTCTGAGTCTCTCAGATCTTTTGTATTTTCAAGGCCTGCATTCACCTCCTCTAGGGCATCTTCACTCTATTTCTCTTGCGCCCACATCAGGTTCACAATTACAGCCTGCCTTGTGCTTGAAGGACTTCTATTGTGGTCCTGTGTTGTCATTCCACATCTCCTAGGTTTCTAACATTTTCTGCCAACCAGCCTGTGTGGTCCCTGAGGCCAGGAATGGCTGCTTAACCATCTCTGCCTCCTCCCCTCCCCCCCCCACCCCCTACTACCCCACCACAGGGCTTGGCAAATGGGGAGAACTTTGTAAACATGTGCTGATTATCTGACTGATGAAGGGCCAACAGTTTTTATAAGATCCAAACCTTCCTGAATGGATGTCTGCAAGGGAAAGCAGACATATGGGCACAAACATCAGTATTCAACTCAAACACCATCCAACAGTAAGAGAAATCCCTCAGGTAGGTAGTATATATAATACACATAGCATATTATATCTCAGAGGCAGGGGGATAGAGGTCGCAAGACTCATTTAAAATAAAAGTGTGAATAGTGCAGGAAACCCTGCTCAGGAGCAGGGAAACTTGGAAGAAGCAAACTTACTGACTGCTTGTCCTAGCACCCCTTCCATCCAGCTCCTACAGTAGAGGCTAGGAAAGTCAATGCTTTTTTTCCCACCCTGCATTGTAACTAGCGTTGAGCATGTGACCCAGTTCTGGCTAATGAAACATAAAGGTAAGTCTTCCAGAAGGCTTCCAGGAAAGACTTTTCTTCCTGATAAGAGAGGAGAGCCTGAGAAGGTAACATCTTACTGCCTCTCAATATGGTATGTGATTGTGATGCCTGGAGCTGGTGAAACCATCTTATAACCAAGAGGGAAGATGTCAGCTCAGACTCATTGAGACAGTACAACCCCTACCTCTCTTTGGATGTATTGCTATGTGATCTAAAAAAAAAGAAAAAAGCCCTTGTTTGTTTAAGCTTGTTAATTCAGTGGTTTCCATACTTGCAAGTAAAAGCATTTCAAACTGATACACTGAGGTGATGGAAAGGACAGGGGCCTGTCTGGATTGCAGATTTCTAGGAAGTCTTGTCTTGATGATGACTACCACTGCTATGGAACTAGACAATGTGCCATCTTGCTCACAGGAAAAAATAATGTCAAAATATTCTGTGGCAGTTAAGATTCTGTGCATATTATAACATCTTTCTTAATTCTCTTATTTAAAATTTTTTTAAATTTTATTTATTTATTTGGCGGCACTGATCTTAGCTGCAATAGGTGGGATCTTCAATCTTCGTTGGGGCATGTGAACTCTTAGTTGTGGTATATGGGATCTGCTTCCCTGACCAGGGATTAAACCCAGGCCCTCTGCACTGGGAACACTGGAGTCTTAGCCACTGGACTACCAGGAAGTTCCTCAAATTCCC